AACGTCAATTATAATCAACCAAACCCTTACGTATCCAGTAGAACTCCCCAGTGTTCTTGTGCAAAGTTCCAAGCCAGATATTTACCAACAGGGTTGTAGGCRACATATCKAATGACGCTAACCATGTCCTGAGCACGAATCAATTTAGGATCAAGCGAACTGGCAAGGAACCTGGAGACCACATAGTCAATACGTTAATTACTTTGTGTGGATAATTTTGCAATAAATATAAGGCTGAAAGGGGGTGAGCAGAAATACCAGTGAACACCAAACTCCTGTAAGTGTTAAGGTTTATTCTGGGTTTATTCACATGACGATCAGGGGTAATTGTCGTACGTATTGAGAATCCATGGTTTGTTGCTCGATCCTAAAGCAGACATCAAAGTATTTTTTTCGGTYACATCACTGGTATTTAGGAACTTGTTGAACATCCATTGCCATTCCTCTTCACCGGTGTTAGCAATTCCGTATCGATAGACCAACGAACGCAGGTCGACGTCGATGTCTTTCCTGTTAAAAAAGAAGCAATTACTCAACGACCGAACATTGGAACCACGACCACCTCTACACTACGACCACCTTTAAATTACGACCACCTTAACAAACCGACCTATGCCGCAGTAGTACACACTGTAGTACATCCACACTACTGTCTTTACCTCGTGCCATTTTTCCATTCAAGGAAAATTCCAGTTGCGTTTTTATTGGCCTGTTTGTCGCCATTTGCACATGCTGCTCTGAGAAATGTTGCACGTTTGTATCTGAAATAAAATAGCGACGACTATTGGAGGATTTTTTTTCCCAATAACATGCTTATTTTCAAGCAATTCGTGTTAATTGGAAGAAGTTTTATGGAAAAATATTTACTTGTCAATATGCCCATCATCAGAAAGCATTGTCCAACCAAGTCTCTTGGCGTGGGGACTCACTTTGCTACGAATAAATTTCTATCAAAATAAAGAATTAAAAACGAGATTGGCACATAGTTTAGAAAGAGAAAACTATTGATTTTATTCAAACCTGTAAGTTCCCATAAGACTGACGGTTCCCTAACACAGTTTTCAAATAACCCAGTCTGTTTAACGCTGTTTTCCACGGTACATAGTCTGTTTCTTTGTCAAGATAGTTCAACATACTCAGAGYAATTGAGTATTTAAGATATCCAGCGCTGTGCAAATATARCAATGTCATTAAACATCYTAATATACTCTCTCTATATCTTAACAAACAMGTGGTCTTTTGTTGGGCTTCCTGCTATAAACTGCTTTCAAGGTAGTATCATTTTAAAAACCTTTAAATACCTTGCTAAACTGAATGCATCGTCAATAAGATGAGATCTGTCATCGCTTGTGAATACCTACAAATAGTCATGTGGTAGTAAATGAGAAACTACACAATAGAGCGGATTTCGTATGAGTGGGACACCGTTACCGCACGGTTACCGCACAGTTACCGGACCTGGCCTTCACATTTTTGGTGAACCAATGGGGCACTAGAATTTGGTTACAGTACGATTACGGTCACAGTACAGAACGGTCCGTTTCCCACTCATACGAAATCCGCTCTAAAAGGCTCCCTCAGACTCCCCTGACACTCGGCTAGCTATGAAGAGACTAACTACCGACTAGTGAGATGGATACAGCATACTATAGTAGACTACCTGCCGACTAGTGAAATGGATACAGCATACTATAGTAGACTACCTGCCGACTAGTGAGATAGATACAGCATACTATAGTAGACTACCTGCTGAGATGGATGCTGTCATTTCTTACCTTGTGATCATCTTGTAGCTGTTTGCTCAGTGCTCGCCAGTTTGCTTCGTCGTAATTTACTCTGTAATATCCTATCTGTTTGTAGTTTCCTTTGATCCACGTTCCGTCAGGCCAGGTAAATTCCGCTAAGAAATAAACGTTATGAATATACCAAACAAGAGCGTATGATGCACGTATAATAATAAAGTCATCATTTGTAATCACGAGAAACATGAATAGATGGAGGAATGAATGGATGGATGTAGGAATATGAGTAAATGAAACAAAAAAGATACATGACCTTTGTATCAATGGCCGTTAACATAAAAAAAGTATCACACCTGATGTTTTATTCATCCATATCATGGTTGAATTGACTTTGTCGGTGAAGAARGTAAACGGAACGTACCATTTGTAACTAAATAGAAATGCATGATAACAGTCATTTTTCACATAGTACTTATGTAAGAAGAATGTTGGAACGTCACATATTAACATAATATTGCGTGACATACTCGAAGGGAGATTTTTCAGTCACGTTAGATGTGGGATCCGCTAAGAAGTGCTTCTGTGTAACGGTTGCTTTGTTTCCTTTCTTTGCGACTGTGACCACAGGGTATCCCATTTGTAACGTCCATGTATCCATGACGGTCTTGACGTCTGTTTTACTGACCTATGTCATGCAATCACAAATACCTTGTCACACAATCACCGTGATAACGTCATCGGCGTTACATAAGACAAGAAAGGTTTTCGATGGTACGTACCGATCCAAGCGCATTCCAAAGGTCTTTCATTTCAGCGTTCTTGAAAGCATATGTTTTTAGGTAATACTGGAATCGAAAGATTTGAATGTTCTTTAATACTATAACATTACCTCTGATGAGAGAATACAACGATGACTGTCGATCATCATGATGACTGTTGACAATAATTACCTGCAATCCTTTCGTAAATTGATCACGACCAAGAAAACCAGACAACATCCTGATAATCGAAGAACCCTACAAACAAGGTACATTAACCCTTGCGCATGCACATCCTACATATCTTACATCATATCTACACCTTAAGTTTCTTTAACATCTAGCAATATTTACCTTACTGTAAGATATACGATCAAATATCTGTTTAATCTTCTTGGGGTGATCGACCTCCACCGATATTGGGTGTGACGTGGCCAGTGAATCAAGCGGGAAAACAAGCTGAAGATCTAGCAGCAAAAACTGCTCCATCTGGAAGAATGTTAATCGTTGATTCAAAGTCCACAATAAGCTGAAACGGATGTACAAACTCTTACCATTTCCCAGTCTGGATGGACATGATCCACGCCCAGGTACTCCACGTAACTTGCAAACCCTTCATTTAACCACAGGTCGTTCCACCATTTTGGAGAAACTATGTTACCAAACCACTAAAAAAAACATTTGAAAACATTACAACTGTATGATTACAACTCTTTCATACAAAAACACCGCCGAATTCCACAACAAGAGTACAGCGTTGCTTAGCAATCCATGTCATGTAACTACGCCGTTGTCATAGTGACTTGATCAATGTATTGTTGCCTAGCTTATTTGCAAATAAACGATTTGTTATCATGCAAACTGATTGGTTACAAAAGATGTGACATTTTCGACTAACCTGATGTGCTAACTCATGTGATATAACCGTGGCAACACTTTGTTTATTACTTTCTGATGAAACCCCAGGTTGATATAATAACCTGGTCTCTCTGAATGTAATTAGTCCCCAGTTCTCCATAGCACCGGACGAGAAGTCGGGAATGGCGATTAGGTCTAGACAAGAGTTGTTTCACAAGGAATCAATTTAGATTCTAATAACGTAATATGTATGCTTTTGTTGCTACTGACCTTGTTTAGGTAGTGGATAGTCTACTTTGTAATAACGCTCGAAGTATGTTATAATCTGGGATGCCACTGATAGTGCAAACTCTGCTTGATTGATTTGATCACGTGTTGTCCAGACGCGAACCTACAACAACGACAACACAGAATTATCACAACTACAACGACAACACAGAATTATCCACGACTATAACACTGCCACCACTAGTCACAACAACAACTACAACTGACTCATCAATGCCTAACAACAACAGCAACAAAAATCATGAATACATAAGAACTCTGACAGTTCGTTTCCGGCAGACAATAATTTCTGCAGCAGCACGTGTCTTGCAGAGCTTACCGTGATGTTGCCGTGTATTCCAGTTAAGTTTGACTTGTGAGCAAAGTCGCATACAATAAAAGCCAACAAGTAGGTGGACATTGGCACTGATTTTTGAAACCTGAACAAAAATCATCGGTAA